GTGCAGTAATGTTGTTTAAAGTCACATTTATGGGGAACGAGGGAAGTTAGAGAATTCTAAAGCAACACTAAGATATGTCAAGAAGTTAAAATACTTGAATTGGTTCCTACCAGAACAAACTGAAATAGCCACAGTGATTAGCTGTTCAGGGACATGTGCTTTATTTATTAAAATGTGTTTTCAAAAATCAGTATTATTACCTTTTCCTTGGATACTTCCTTTCTTTGAAACATTAGTCAAGCAAATGAAACTTATTCTCCCAGGGTCTGTTTCCACAGCCATCACATATAGTCACACCAGTAGCACTTTCTATACATCACTATGTAAACTTGATCATAAATGCTATATGGCACACTTATATTATCTATATTCTGGGTCTGAGAGTCTCTAATTTCTGTGATTTCCTGAAGAGCTGAAAACTAGGAGAGCTCGGGGTCTAGTGTAGGCTTTTCATCCTGAAGAAAGCGTCCTCTCCCATTAGTGCCTCAGCTAAACGTTATTTAAGTTTTTATATTCTCTTCCCTAGTGTGCACCAAGCCCTTGTTCAGGTCTCTAGCACATAGTGTGTTGGTTGCCCTCCTGCTTCACACTGAAGGAAGACTCGTGTGCATGTGAGGACACCTTCCCCCTTTATCCCCATGTTTCTCTTCATGAATCAGCCATCTTTCTCTCCTGAAGCATTTTTTTTCTCCTCTAAAACCGCTTTCTCTTTTCAATTGCATTTGTGTCAGTAAAATCTGTAGACACCAAGGACAAAGTGGGAATAGAAAAGAGTGATCAGAAGAGCTTGTGATGGGAGGGGATGCAATAAAGGGGAACCACATGTCTCCACCTATTTTTTCTTCTGTTTTTATTGGCTTTCGGCAGATGTAGTAATATGGTGAAAGAATGGGAAGGGTCTAATGTTAAAAACTCTGACATTTTGCCCCATAATATCTCACCAGTGTGCTAATTCAAGAGACCCTGATCTTACAGTTTAAGTGTATTTAGAAATTTAGACTTTCAACCCGAACAAAAGCCTAAATTCTATTTAAGTGACGTCCTCTGGACCTGTTGGCTTCTTCACATCAGGACATTGTTTGATGACTGTAACTGCCATCCACCGAAGGCTGGGTGATCTGGTACATTCTTGCCTCATTGGTCTCTGCCTGTTCTTAACTCTTTTTCAAAACGAAGCTGTGGAAAATTACGCAGCTACCCTATGTGTTTGTAGAAGTAATATTTTTTTGATTATTTTTGATATAATAGTATAATCACATCATCTCCCCTTCCTCTTTCTTCTTCTAAACCTCCTCATATGCCCTTTCTTTTCAAATTTTGCTTTCTTTGCTCAAACTTTGCTCTCTTTCAAATTCACGGCCTCTCTTTTCATTAACTGTTTTCATGTAGATATATGAATATGTATATACATATATTCCTGAATATAACATATTCAGACTGTATAGTGCTACTTGTAGGTATGATTCAGACATGACTAATTGGTATTGGAAACCAATTTATGTGCTCTTCCCTGGGGAGGACTATTTCTCCTGCCCTCAGCAGTTCCTAATTGCCTGTAGTTCTTTGTGTTGAGTTACAGCCTAGTGGGCTTTCCTGCCTCCACACTGGCAGGTCTATTGCTGTTGTCCATGTTCAGCCCATCCCTAGGCAGTCTTTAGGGGTGCAGCTGCTGGCATTTCTAGGAGACACAGTCTCACAGCAAACTCCCTGATCCTATGGCTCTTACAATCTTTCTGTCCCCTCCCCAATATTTCTGGGCTCCAACACTTTAGCTCCTATGCATTCTATCTATCTATCTGTCTGTCTGTCTATCTATCTATCTATCATCTATCTATCAATCACCTATTTATCTATCTATGTGTCTATGTATGTTTGTATCTGTGTATCTTTATATGTATGTATGCATGCATTCATGCATGTATGTATGTATGTATTTATCTATCTATCTGTCATCTATACTATCTATGTGTGTATCCATGTATACATTTATCTATGTATCCATGTATCTCTCCATCTCTCTTTCTCTCTACTTATCATCTACTTGTCTGTTTGTCTACCTACCTACCTACCTTGCAGAAGCAAGCAGCCACATGCATGGAAGTTTATCACCCTGCCTTTTATAAAGTTAGTATTCAATAAATGCTATCACAGGTCTCATCAGAGATACTTCTCTTCCTCCAGTAAGACTGATCTGGCCAAGATTACCCGAGAACTAACAATGACTAATACCAACTGTCAGTTCTAAGTTTCATTTTCCCTGGACTTTCTTCTATAGTAGAAGTTATTTCCTACAATCTTTTATTTTAAAATTCCCAATGTGCAATTTGCTATTTAGCTTTTGCACAACCTCTTCAAGCTCCGTGGTTTTCAGTGTCTCCTATCAGAGATGCACAATGTTTACATTACCCAGGAATTCACGACGGTCTCCATTACAAGGGAGAAAACAGCTGGAGAGCAGCAGATGCTATCAGAAAGCATCCTTGCTCTCAAGTCTGTGTCTATTAGATGCACAGATACCTGCCGTGTTCTGGCTATTGTAACTTACCTGACCTTTGCTGCTCTTGCTTTGCCAGTGCTGACTTGGCTGAACCCCTGGGCGCTTCTCTTTCTCCCTAGCCAGGACTTGGTTCTGCTTCATTGAATTGACTTCTGCTAGCCCCCTTGTCAGTCTTGGCTTCCATTCCAGCGGCTTTCTTCTCTTCCCTTATCTCACCCTGCCATCTTGCCATCCATTGAACCCCTAAGAAGATAGCTCACTTCCTCCCTGTTCTGTTCCTTCCGTTTAGATTCACCCAGTCTTCCTCAGAGCTGTCCATTAGGTCTAAGCATCCCCCCATGCAAGTGTCACAGGGAAATCAAACTTGAAATGGGAAGATGTACTTGGTAGTGACCTGCTTCTTCAAGTTTGCATATTGGTCTTTATTACTGTTCTGACCAGGTTGCTGATTACATCCTTCAGCTGGTAGTCTGTGCTAGGAATCATTGACGTCATCTGTATTTCTCCACACTTACCGGGTCGGCATCCTCTGCCTTGTCCGTTTCAATATAACTATTGCTTTTTCCCCTTTGTAGTCTCATGTGAGTTCCGTCATAGCTACGAGAAAACTGCGTGTCTGCTCCTTCTGGATTATTTCTCACCTAATAGCCTTTTTTTGTTGTTGTTGTTGTTAGCTTCATTTTATATTACATTGTTAATTTAAACATAACTTCCCATCATATTACCTAAAGTGCTTTGTAGAGTACTCCACAGATAATCTATTTATTTCCTGGAATAAAAGAACCAAATAGAAAATTGAATTGCTGAATGCTAAATCTGTTTTCTCTTGGAAAATTGCTGTACAACACATTAGTTTAAAAGAAAATACTTCATGTAGTTTTGTTATATACATATGTAGACATATATGTGTAGACATATGTAGACATATCAATAAAACTCTATGATAGAACCCTGTATTTGGACATAGTCTCTATTTTTTACTGAGGATCGATCATTTGGGACTGTTGAAAGGTAAGCTCCTTCTGCTCCTTTTACTCCTTAGTACGTGCTTAAGCATATCGGAACAGTGCTAACTCAGTCTTTTAGCTACTCTCCAAACTTTACTTTGGTTACATGCAGAAGGTTTAAGAAATCAAAGTATAAGCAGGATGGAGGTAGTACACTTCATTAATCCCAGCACTCAGGAGGCAGAGACAGGAGGTGCTCTCTGAGTTAGAGACCAGCCTCATGTCCAGAGCTGATTCTAGGACAGCCAAGGCTACACAGGGAAGCCCTGTTTTAAAACCAAAAGAAAAAAATAAACAGAAAGAAAGAGAAAATCAAAGTACATATGAGATCCAGTTGAAAGTTCCTAGTAGGAAAAAAAAAAATCAAATTTCCTTTTAGGGCATTATAGCTATCTTCTCCTGTGGACATTCTTTAAAAGTGACTGTTGTAAATGCTTTCCATTTCTTCCTGACAGGTAATATTTGAAGCTGAGGTCTCAGGAGGGAGAAACGGTTATATTGCCATTGACGACATCCAAGTCCTGAGTTATCCTTGCGGTAAGTTTGGATGAAGAGTTGTATTTTTCTGTGTCCTTTCAACATGTGTCTTGGATTGACGGTGACCGCTGATTGTTTATTGCCTGGTCATTGTCGTCCATTTTGTTGTTGTTAATCCCCGGCTTCATGGAAGGAGCACTGAAACAGAATTTTCAAATCAAGTATTTTCCAGATTTGTAACTACGTGTATGACATGACGATTCTTTCATTTGTTTTTAATTAGTGGTAACAAAGTGTAAGTGCAAACACAATTACACTAGGCCTTTTTGAACCTTGGGAGTATCTTACCATTCTCTAGGAACACAGAGACAAGTAACAAATCCGAGCTCAATAACAGCAGAAATAAAAATCTGTCTAAGGTGTCTGACCTGTTAAGTTTATCCCTCAGGAAATGAAGAGAATGAATCTATTCAGCTTCTTCCAAACTTAGGTCTATTTTTTATTATCATCCTAAATATCTGAGTTCATCAGCATTAAATAAAATGTTAAAACAAATCTGGCTTTATGGACATAGTTCTGTGAGTCCCTTGAATGAGTGCTGATTGTTTTGCAAAATTCATACTTCAATTTGTACTTAATCACATTCCCCAAAACAATTATTGCAAGCATTCAGTAGGGCCAGGAAGAAGTTCCAGACAGCAGCTCAGACTTTCTTCATGATAAGATTTCCCAGCAACAAAATATGACAGGTCCTGTGTAAGAGGACTTTTGTGCTCCATAGTCCTCCACAATGGGGCATCGTGATGAGGTCAACATGTCAGGAGCAAGGCTTGTGCCTCTGCTTAGTGATTATATCATGTTAACAGTGAAGACCATGGAGGTTGGCTCTTCTCCCCCTGATAATTATGTCTAGGCAGAGACCTGTGGATTTGCATTTTTGGTCCGTTTTGTGGTGCTGCTGGACTAGAGTTCATTTTGGTCCACATTGTTCTTGCTCAAGTATTTTGTCTTTTTTTTTGTTGTTGTTGTTGTTGTTTTTGTTTGTTTGTTTTCTTCCCCTTGAGATCCAGCTGAAGGAAGGTCCTAGAGAAAGAGGTTGCAAAGATCAAATTATTTATCCTGTGTGTTCTATGCTCAGAAAGGTAACAACATGATCCCACTCCAAGTTCAAGTTGGCTTTGTAAGCTCACTTACTGCCCAGCGTAAGTGTACTGTATTTCTGTCTGCTCCTTCATGGCTCCATCTTAAATGTCAGATGGCAAAGGAAGAGTTTGGAGAATAAAGAAATTGATGTTTGCAACTGCAAGAGCAGCTGCAGTGTGGTATGGTTCTGCAAGACACATATTATTATTATTGTTTACCTTCACCGGGGCTTAGCTTTGCCGCACACTTTTTCCTTCAACAGAACACATGGAGTGGGCTTTAGATTCAAAAGGAAGTAGTAGTGTGTACTGATTGGACAGTCACGTCACCCATGGCAATGCTCCATGACTACAGACATCACTTCTGTTGGTCTGAAGGTTCTTTTCTCTAACGTTCCCACGACTATAAGCAAGCAGGAAGGAGACATACCATTTTTAATAAACAAAAATGTTCCTTTCTCTGATAGACAGCTACTAAAGTTTGAAAACCCGAAAGAATGGTGATTCGGTTGGTTAAATTGTGGGTCAATAGTTAAGTGACCATGTAGCTGTCAGAATGGTAGAGGTCTTGATCCATTCTGTTTTTTTTTTTTAAATTAGACTGATATCTACCCGTTTAATCTTTTTGACTTCCTTGTACATAACTTTTATTATCACTAACCCATGCTAGAGCAGCTGTTAGTAGTAAACATCTAGTTTTCACTCTGCACAGATCTATCTCTAGGTAAAACGAGGTGTTACGTATTACAAGTACTAGGAAGGAAGTGTAAGAGAGGAAACGGTGTGTTCTAGAGAAAATGAAAGCCACGATTCTTCTGAATGTGAGTGCGAGTCAAATGTAGGCATAGTAAGGACAATGTTCTGTGTGGAAGAGTAGCATGATGTGTTTTTTTTGTGAATAAAACACGTATTTCTCCTCCTATTTTTACAGACAAATCTCCTCATTTCCTCCGTCTGGGTGATGTGGAGGTCAACGCAGGGCAGAATGCTACGTTTCAGTGCATTGCTACAGGGAGAGACGCTGTGCATAACAAATTATGGCTGCAGGTAAGACCCCATTAGTGACTGCGCTAACGGGTTCACTTGGGTAAAAAACATCCTTGTGCTGTTTATGGTTGTCATACACACTCTCCCTCTCCTCTCTGCCCCCTGTGCTTGTGGAAAGGCAATTTGTATGAATCCGATTTATTTGGCTATCTAGAGACTCATAACACACACTTCACTTTTAAATAATCTGACAAAAAATGTCAAGGTGTATCATTAATTGATACTGGTATTGGTGTCTTGTAATACCTCATGATTCTTAGGCTTCTCTAGATACATGGAAAAAGAAGTCAAACTAAGTTTTCATAATAAATATTTTGAAAAGCAAACTAAGAAAATAGCAGTCTGATAGGGATTGCCAGACACTCAGTTTAAGAAACTATTCTGAGCATTTCAGGAGGGCACATGGAAGGGAAACAGTGTAAACAGTGTTTTTTTCTTTTTCTTTCTCTTTTTCACAAGTGTGTGTTTGAGAGTTCATTGTAGATCTGACATTTGGACATCTGCCTTGTACATGTGAAACCCTGAATAAATCCTTACTGACTGGATTGTGATTTGACATACATGTCGGGGAGATGTACATGTCCCGAAGCTTCAGAAGAATCGGCGAAAGATCCGTAGAGCATGGAATTGTTTTGCCTTCAGAGAAAGGATTGAAAGTCTTGCTGTCACTCTTAGGTGCTGGGAGGGGGCACAGTGGGCCATGTGTGACAGAGGCAGTCCTAAAACAGAGAGACTAGAGCTAGGAAAGATGCCCATTTAGCTGATTTTTGTTGTTGTTGTTTTTTTTTTTTTTTTTTTTTTTTGAGACAGGGTTTCTCTGTGTAGCTTTGTGCCTTTCCTGGAACTCGCTTTGTAGACCAGGCTGGCCCCGAACTCACAGAGATCTGCCTGCCTCTGCCTCCAGAGTGCTGGGATTAAAGGCGTGCGCCACAAAAGGCCGGGGCAATGATAGCCCATGCCTTTTTTTTTTTTTTTTTTTTAATTTTCTGGAGCTGAGGACTGAACCCAGGGCTTGGTGCTTGCTAGGCAAACACTTTACCACTGAGCTAATCCTCAAACCCTTAGCTGAGTTTTAATAATATCTTTATCATCTGGACTTCACCACCCCCTCGTGTGTGTGTGTATGTGTGTGTGTGTGTGTGTGTGTGTGTGTGCACGCGCGCGCTGAAGTAGGTGTGTGTAGATCCAGCAGTCCTTGTGTGTACTTGTGTTCGGAAGGTAGATGTAGACATTGGATGTCTTCTTTAATAGCTCTCTGCATTATTTGGAGACAAGGTCTCTCACTGGTCCTGTGCTTTTCACATTAGGCTGAACTGACTGGCTGGTGAGCCCCAGGTGTCCACCTGCCTTGTCCTCTCCAATGTTAGCCCTCAAGACAGGTGCTGCCACAGCCCCCTTGATGTTGGTGCAGGTGTTCCACACGTAGTTCCCAGGCCCGTGAGGCAAGTGCATTCCCAACCCCTGATCTGTTGATAGTCTGCTTCTATCTACATCACAGTAAGGAAAGGGATTGGATTTGTTTAGCATTTTAAATTCCTGGGAATGCCAGTAGATTTCTTAAAGACAAAATATCAAAAGTTAAATTCGTTTCTTGGGCACAGTTAATGGGGACTTAGTTTGCTATATCCGTCAGAGTCATGAAATTAGTGTTAGGGATACTTAACTAGCATCCAGGTATTTAGGGATGATGGTTATAGTGCATCATCATTAAAAGCAAATATAGTATAATGTCTAGGATTATGCAAGGTGTTTAGGTGTCACCTGATTCCTGTATCAATCCAATTAGATGTGACCACAGATGTACATCATATTATGTCAATCCACTTATCACTACTTTTGTAATTTATTTGATTTGTAGTCATTATAATACCCTCTTTTGGGCCCCAATTTGAAAAGGATAAAAGACTCCCTTCTTTTCTCTCAGGATGCTAATTCTTCCTACCTATAGATATTGGGAACTAGGATACTTTATCCCAGGGAGCATATAGTATAATGAACAGTCTGTCTTATGGACTAAATGCTGAGGCCATTTTTTCTTATCTCTCAGTCTGCCAAAGTAAGTGGTTTAAGAATGAATTTCAGACTTATTTTCTAATCATTCTGCATCATTCTTATTTTTTCCATTACAATGGGAACATTGGTTGGTATTTGGTATTAGCTGCAAGTCCAATAGTCTGTTCTTGGGAACCAGAAATGGTTCTGCAGTCTGCCACTGGTTTTATGCTCCAGGATTTAATGTGACATGGAAATAAAAAGGGTTTTGTATCCACAGACACCAGCTGCCTTGTGGCAACAAAGACTTTCTGGACCGGGCTGGTCCGAGGGGGCTGCAGTCAAAATATTGCCCATTTTTGTTGTTTCCTATTCTGTGGACTGGCTCATTTCATTATGGTTTCTTGAAATTTTCCTCCTGTCATTTTTCAAGCAATAATGATAGAAAAATGCTCTTCAGAAGTTTTTCTGTGTTTTATCTACTCATCCCCTCTTCAGACTCTGCATTGGTCACGGAAGGTGATTTTGTGTCTTTATTTCCAACTTTGACGTTGGCATTGTGTGGTTCTCCAGCCAAGCACAAGTTCACCTTACTTATTAAAAAGCTGTTCTGCATTTTTCAATAACACCACACAAACCTCCTTAATGTCATTCTCTCAAATGATTCTTTATACCCAAGAAGATACTAGAATATAGCATTTACATAGTTTAGTGATGCTTTCATAGAAAACATTTTTAATGAAATACCTATTGTATGGGTGTTTTGCCTTTGTAATTTTCTTAGACAGGGTCTCATTATATCTTCTTGCCTGGCTTGGAACTCACTATATAGACATGCCAGCTTGAACTCACATAAATTTGCCTTCCTCTGCTTCCTGAGTGCTGGGATTAAAGGTGTACACCACCAGTTAGGCTTATTTTGACTTTGTGTATTTCTGTGGACCACATGCATGCTGGGTTCCAAAAGAGGCCAGAAGAGGGCATTGCATTCCCTGGTACTGATGTTACAGATAGCTGTTAGCTGGTCTGTGGGGGCTGGAAATTGAACCCAGATTCTCTGGAAGAGCAACAAATGTTCTTAACCACTGAACCATCTTAACAACCCCTTTAATAAAACATTTTTGTAGTAGCAATATGTAGCAATTAACCACTTAAGACTGACTGGTCCATATCTGTCTGCCTGCCTGCCTGCCTGCCTAGTTGCCTACCTGCCTACCTTTCTATCTGTCTATCTATCTATCTATCTATCTATCTATCTATCTATCTATCTATCTATCATCTATCTATCTATCTATCTATCTGTCTATATACATACATATACAATTATATTTATATGAGTCTATCAAAATTGGTTATTACTTCAAAAACTTTATATATATATACAAAGTTTTTTATATACAAAAACTATATATATATATATATATATATATATATATATATATATATTTGGCTATTACTTCAAAAACTATTCATCTTTTTCCAAAAGTAGTAAAAACACAAGTAAACAGGAAGAACTGTAACTCCATGGTGAATCCATACAGACTTAGTCATATGAACAGATGCTACTTTTATTTAGGAAAGAGAATAACATATAATGGTACAGAAGACCAGGGCTGAATTCTCACCTCATTTCTACCCCTTCTAACCTGGTTAATTGTGATGGGCTTAGGGTTCAGTGGCCTCTCTGGGCCTTTATTTCCTTATCTCTTAAAGGAGATGTTTGGTAGAGACTAAAATTCTTTCCAGCTATGAAACATTAAATGAGGTCTTTCTATTATTTGTGGTGATCTGAAATGTGGCCTTGATAACCTCCTTTTGTTTGATGGAATAATGTAAAAATTTTATACTGTTAGTTTTATGTGAAAAGAGATGGTCTCTTCAATTAACTTTCATTGTATGAGC